CCCGGCTGCTGCTTCCAGGTCGGGAAGAGCCCTGTGATCCCACTCACCCTCGTCGGCAGAGCTTGGGGGGGTCGCAGAGCTGCTGTCATACAGCAGATCAACGGCCTTGGGTGTCTCCTCCAGTCAGGGAGCAAGTTCTCAGCGCCGGCTGCTGAGAAGCGATGGGCCATGGTGGGCCCCCATGCCCGCACCGAGGCAGCGCCGGTCTTTGGGTCTTTCCCTTCTTTCACCGCTCCTCCTGTTCTTTCGCATTGTTAGATGTATGTTCAAAAGAGGGAAAAAGAGGAAAAAATTAGGGGCACCGTCACAGCAATACCCATTAACTAGGAGGCTGCCATGCTGCAATTAGTTTTAAGCAGTCTTTAGCATTTTAATTAGCTCTCAGATGCTTTCAACATACTTAACTCGCCCCACAGAAACTGTAGAAGATAGCAGACGACGATTAAGATGCGCTTTTACTCTTCCAGAGCGCGCCGAGCACCTTGGAGCTACGGACCATGCATATAAAGCAACACGGCTTATTATTCAGAGCTGTTTGTTACATTAATCATGTGCCTGCCCTGCTCCGGGAAGAGGAATTAGAATATAGCAATATTCTGGCAGCTTGTTTTTAAAATACGTGTGTGGGTGGACACTCCAGCTACTGCTCACATTTTTCGCAGAAGAGCTGCTCGTGATTCTCCTCCCTGGTATTTTCTCTCCACACAAATTTTGCTTGCAGGATTCAGGGAGGAAGCTGCCCCAAGCCAGTCGACAAGTGCTGCATGGAAATAAGGTGCATTACTAACTGGGAAATGTCTGAATTTCTGACTTGCAGAGAGGAAACCTTGGAACACCTTTAAAATGAAAGGTGCTGTAACAGTTCTTCCCCTGGCAAAGAAAGAGAAGGTGCTATTATCTTTCTCCTTTAAACCTCTTCTGATTTGACACCTCCTAGTCTGAATATTGCTGAACAAGTCCTTGGGAATGAACTGCAGTGCTGCTTCTGAAAATTATTTAAGAGCTCTGCAGCAGTAGAAAGCAAGGAACTGCTTTTTCAGAGCAAACTTTGAGCCAAGCTTCAAAGCAAGCTCGAGATGCTGAAACGCAGATCTAAGGAAAAGCTGCTTTAATGCTGCGCTCAGTCCGTGCTGCTTCCAAATCAAAGCGCCTGCTTGGCGCAGAAACCGAAAGGCAGGGTTGAGTTCTTGCTGGAAATACCTGCCTAGCTGGCCAGAGCTGGGAAGCGCCAGTCCTCGTCAAGTCCTGGGGCAGAGGGCAGCGAGCAAACGCAGCGACTTCGCCCAAAACGCCTCAGCCTGCTCCCAGGCGACCGACCGCTCTCGCCGTTCGTTCAGGAGGCTGCAGAAGGAATTTTTACCTTCAGCGGCGGTCACCTCGTGATCCTGGAAAGAACCTTATGGAGGCATTAATAGCAACTCCACAAACCGTCCTGCCCCGGCCTTGTCTCGCCACGTCGGAGCTCACGACGAACATTTCAGAAAAACAGCGAGTTCTGGGACAAAATGAAGTTCGATTGAAGGTGGGGGGGGAGAGAGAGAGAAAACCAACCAGCGTGGGGAATAGTGAGTTATGATTCTGCTCACCAGGTAGGAACAGTGTGTCAAGGCATGTCTCCAAGCTGAAGTTTACGGGATGCATAAATAGCTCCATAAAACCGCGTTGTCGCTGCCTCAGGGAAAAGCACGCTGGCGGCAAGGAGGACAAAGCCCGTAACGCAGCGCAGAGCTGTGCCGGCCAGCAGAACGGCGAGCTTACCTCAGCCGAGCCATCTCACCTGAACGCTTCTCCTCAGAGTATCTCCTGCTTTTTCTGAAAAACATACAAAAAAAAACCCAACACAGATCTGTCCACTTTTTTAAACTGTACTTACTCAAAAAAAGGCAAAAGCATTTACTTCCAAAGTATATTCCTTACGCTACAAAACACTTTAATCCTTAAAGAAAAATCATTATTCCTTTAATTCAGCAAAATGCTCCTACATGAGAAATAAAACTCAAGCAGGCGTGCAATAAACTCCTCAGACGCTAGCTGCATGAGGCACATCTCGCTCCAAGGACCCTTTTAGCAAAAACTTACCCGTCCGTCCCCAAACCCGACGGATCTCCAACTATTCTCCAGCGGAGCAACGCCGCTGGCCCCAGACTGCCGGCGGGACGGGCGCAAGGGCAGCGATGCCTCCAGCACGCACCGACCCGCTGCACCGGGCTGCGAGGAACACGCGGCGCGTGAAGGAGTGCTCAGCTACTAGGGGAACGTGGCCGCCGTTTCGTAATGATTAACGAGCACCCCCAAGCCATACGGTGTTTTTTGCTCTGTTACAAACTATAGTCATTCTCCACATCGCTCCCTGGAAGACTGTGAAGACACGGCCCTGTAATTTAGATTTGCATGGAACTTTTTTTAGCCAACAGAATCACAGAATGGTCAGGGTTGGAGGGACCTCTGTGGGTCACCCAGCCCAATCCCCTGCCCAAGCCCCCAGAGCCGGCTGCACAGCACCGTGTGCAGGCGGGGTTGGAATATCTCCAGAGAAGGAGACTCCACAACATCTTGACAGGCACCAGTTCAATTAACATAAATTTCCCTTCTTGTAAGAATGATACATTACACACACAAAAATCAGGCTAGTTCAGTTTATATGGAAACCAATACAATTTTGCAATTTATTTGTTAACACAGTTTTAATTCACAACACAGTCGAGCTAGCACACCCAAAGCAGAGACGATTTACACAGCACGAGAGGCCGCCGCGCCAGCCCTCACCCGTCCCCGAGCCGCTCCACGC